ATTTATTTATTTATTTATTTATTTATTTATTTATTTATTTATTTACAGAAGAGGCATTTGTCAGATCTCGCAATGGTCTCATCTTAGATGGGAGAATGCCTCTTCCAAGATGGTCCCAAGGAGAGGCACATTCTAGTTTGTATGCTAGAGAAGATGACATGCATCTTCTTAGAAAGCTACTCTTGGATGCAGTTCTTTAAATAAGAGATTTAAAGTTCTTGTGTTAAAATGATTCTGTCTGTCTATCCATCCATCCATCCTGTTCCTGGATGACTTCATTTTAGCTGCCTCTTATTCTTAGGGGTTCTAACCATAAATCTCCCTTTGTTTTTCTCCTTTCTCAAGTTTAACATTTGCTTTTTGGCAGATACGTTCTAAGCTGTCTTCAGCACTTAATATGGCCAATAAATATCAGAAAGAAAAGAGAAAGGAGGGTGTGATTGAATGTCAATTTTAGTTAGAATCTATCTCATGTGAAGGAATTTTCTACCTAAAAAGTTACGAGAGAGAGTCAAGGTCAAAATCTAGCTCTTGGCAATATGGATATGGATCTACATACCATATAGATACGGTAATGCATAGAACAATGGTTATGGCTTTATCGTTCTTTCATAAGTAGCTATAATTTCTCTGTCAGATGACCATGCTGATCTGGGCTGGGAAGGTGAACTTCTGGATGAGAGACTTCTATTTGCCCTGATGGATCTTCTAGGAGTCTAAATGACCAGGGAGGAACAACCATGAGAAGGCACCTAAGAAGCTGAGCTTCCCAAGATGAAGCTGTTGGTATGGGTGAGATGGATGGAATGGGGCCCAGAGATATGTTCTCAGAGTTCATATCTTAGGAACAATGAATTGTGAGGGATAAGCCTGGGAGGAACACAGAGTTCCTTGTGGTTCTCCAGTAATGGAAGAGAAGCTAAAACGAGAAAGAACCCCACGCTGAGAACTCCTGTGCTCTTTTTTCCTAGCAAGGCTTTCTCAACTGAGCAGCATCCACCTGCTGGGTCACCTGTGAGTGTTCACAAGAAGGAACAGGTATGTCAAAGGCATTCTGCTAAGAAAGAGATTGTTTGCAGAAGCTTCACAAAGTGGGAAGTTTATCTGAATCATCTCTACTGGAGGGAAAGGTGACAGTTCCAAATTAAGATGTTCATCTGTAAGCAAGAAAGAGCTTATATTAGCAAAATCATTGTGTAAAGAGTCTGCTTATAGACCAACTGCTTGGTCTATCACCAAAAACAGTTTCTGGGAAATTTGAGATCAACCCCTCAGCTTTCCTGAGGAATTTACGTGGATAACTACATGCATTAAGAAAAGTTCCAAACAAAAGTTGGAAAGTTTTAGGAAAAGTCAGGAATGAAAATGGAGGCAGATATATTTTTTCACTCGTCTTTTTAGAAAGTCATCTGTTTAGCTCTGACTACTTAGAATACCTCCCAACTAATGTGAGAAGAAAAAAAAAAGTTTGAATTTACCCTGATCCAGCAGTCCATACTAAAAATTAAGCAGATTTTTTTTAAAAAAAATGCTTTCTTTGTAAAATAGAAATTCTAAGCAACGTGGGGTTTTTTTTCCCTCTTAAAAATACAACTGACTAATTCTGAAGTCATTATTTGACTGAGATGGTTAGAGGTGTAGTGAAATTAGAACAGAACAGGGGCGTGGATGCGGTTTCAAAAGCTACCTTCATTGCTAAATGTCAGCACTTAAGGAACTGGTTTTAGCAGGTTCATGAAAGTTCTGCTTTCATCTCTGAAAATAAAGAACTTGTGAGCTGGAAGAAGTCAAGGATGAAAGAAAGACAGAATATAGGTCAGAATCCTTATATTGCCAACTTTGGATTTGAAACAGAGAGAATGGAGAAAGACAGGGGGTCTGGGGACACTAATGGAAACCCAAGTATTGCTTTGTTTTCAATTTTTGGATTTGTTAAATAATTAACCCATTATATTGCTGGTCCCTAAGACCTGTTAGAGGTCTATCATTGCATTTTAATGAGATCTATATTTTATGCTATAATTTCCTTGCTTTTGAAATACTTCTTCAAAGATATATCTGAGATTCAGATGCATGAATTTGGCTGTCTCTTCCAAATTCCATGCATGAGCTTAGATTTCTAGAGGAGAAATTGTTTCTGGCTCCCCAGACATTTATTTTAAAGATTTTTTTTAAAAAAATAAAATTAATCTCCTACAGTAGGAATACGTAGCATGGAATTTAGAGTTCTCTGGCACCAAACTATAGTGAATAAACTGCTAGGAATCAAGACATTCTTTGCAGAAATAATACTTTCTAAAGAGGTGTTATTTCAGTTTAAAATTGCTTTAAACTGAAAAAAAGGATTTGAGAGAAGAAGAGAATATATCTCAAGGAACTGGTAGGAAATGGAGTTTAAAAAATGGGGAGAGTGAAAAAAAGAATGAGACTTTAAAGAAGTATAGAATGATTCCCCATTGAAGGGAGATGGGTGGTTGAAAAATTTAATAAATAAATAAATAATAAATAAAAATAGAATGAGTCCAATTTTACTGATGTGAAATGGATGAGAAATCAGAGGAGGAAAAGCGAAGAACATGAGAACTTCCAGCAATGGAAAACAGGCCTATTTTTCATCCTCATGAAAAAAAAAAAAAAGAGTGAAATCAGGGAGAATGAAGGATTGAGAGAAAAAATATGGAACTCTGCGGCATTTAAAACAGTCTAGTGTTTGACTGAATCGAAGTAGAGGTTCATGAGAAAAAAGGGCAAAGAAAATGTGACTGTAAGGAACGTAAAACAGCCTCTGGTACGAAATGGGAGAGGGGGGATATTAAAAGAAAAAAAGGAAACTCTAGTGGCCAATAAAAAGAAGTCCCCTTCTTTAAGGTACAAAATCTTTAAAGAAGTCCCCATTAAAACCAAGCGGTGGTGAGCTGAGAAGGTGGATGAAATGGCTAGATCCTAACCCTACTCATCTCAGCAAGCCAGTCAGACTTACCTGGTTCCCTCCGTGGCTGGATCCCAAGAATCGGTTTTAAGGAGGCTCTGAGCTTTTTATAACAATTTCGAGGCAGCCCTTGAGGGGATGAGGCGGCCTTTTCAACACAAAGATCTTAATTAGATCCGAACCAAACTGTGTTCCCATATAGCATTTAGTCTAATTGTCAGGACGGTGGCAACAGATCACCATCCTGACTTTGGGCAAATGACCTGAAGTTTGCATTGTCCATGTGGCTCTTTTTATAGGCAAGGCAAAGGGACATCCCATTCCATGGGTTTCTTATTAGCCTAACCTCAACCCCAAATCTTGGCTTGTAGCATGTTGGCTTTGAGAAAACAGTTGGGTGCTGAAACATTCTTCGCCACCTCTGTGTAGGTTTCTCTTTTTCCTATTTCAATGAATCCCCTGAGTCAAAACATTTCCCAGCACCTCCCTGGTCCCAGCCCAAGATTTCCATAACCACATCTGAGAGATGGTTTAGGTGTTGTAATTAAAAAGAAAAAAAAAAGACTTGAAATCTCTGTACTGTGTGTACAAAACTTTCTACATGACTTCAGGACACTGCCTTAACTAGGGCATCTCTTAACATGTCAAATCCCCTATTTCTCCCTTTTTAAAAAAAATTGGAGAAGAAGGCAAGGAGGACGATCAGGTTCTAGACATTAAATCTCTGATGAAAATGAAAGCAGGTAACACCAGGAACGAAGATCTGTGTCTGGGCAGCCGAAGTAGATAAAATCATTTCATCATTCCATTGTTCATTATTCCTTCGATTCACCGTTCTCAGGGCTTCCAACACCCGACTTTTCACTAGGA